GAGAATAAAAAATTCCTCAGGCTTTCCCTTCTAAATTCAGATTAGATATTTGTAGGGTGGGGTCCAGGACTCTTTAAATCTAATACCCCAAGTGATTCACATCATCAGAGATTTTAGGAAATGCCGCTTTAACAAATACGTTCACGTTTTCTTGATGGTGTATGAAGTGATTTGAATGCACTTGAAAACTTTACCTGCACCTAAAAAATATACTCCCACCAATAAATCATGAGACCATCTTAATTTTGCACATATAATTTAATGTTTGCAGTAAAATAGGCTAAATATTAGATAATTTTATCAAATACTTAGAGTGAGATTCTTTTGATATTTCAGTCACTGTCTTGCCTTTAATATTTTAAGCTTATTTAGGTCACAGATTCCCCCTGAGAAGTTGATGAAATCTGTGTAATCTCTCCCCAGGAAAATTAACACCAAAATTTTTGCATATAATTACAAGGTTTCTACTAACCCTGACAGATAATAATGGACACCAACCATGGACCAGTTTAAGATCTATTCTTCAGATGGGGCCCACATTATTTTTAATTTTATTCCATATCTAGTTGTCATTACCCTTGATTTTTTTTCTATTAGGTGCTATAGAGTAAAAAATTCAATAACTATAAATATCCTGATTATATTTATCTCTCTTTCCAGTTAAATGAGACATATATTGTCATTTTTTGTTGTTGTTGGTTAATATGTCCTTTGGAAAAAAATCTCATTTTGATACAACTGTGGATTTGGGGAATGCTATTTATGGAAAGAACAAAATGTTGACAGTTTGCTGGTGAAAAGATAGAGGAATAGATAGATACCTTGAGACTGGGTTGCTCCTGATAAAAGTGTGATGGAAGGGATAACACCTCTGGAGAAGCACCTGAGGTGACTAGAAGCCAAGAATGAAACAATTTAGGGAAGACTGGAGTCAAAGGGGAGAATTTCAGAGGAGGCTGGCAGCTTGGTCCTTGATTCCTAGTTTTAGAAATGGGAATTCAGTGAGGGATACAAACAGCTTGGGTGGCAGATGGCTTCAAAGAGAACTATTTCAACCCATATTTGAGCATTGTATCAAAAACTCAGGCAGAAAGATTTTTGTTTTCTTCAAGGTCTTAGGGGTCAGTTGGGGAGGGGAGAGAGAAGTAAGAGAAATATTGAGTGGGGAAGAAGATGTAGAAGGGAGAGAGAGAGAAGTAAGACAAAAAAACAGAGAAAGAGAAGTTCAGGAAAGAAGCCACACTTGCATTAATCTAGACAACACTGGACTCATTGATTATACTGGAAATATAATCTGCCTATCTGGCTAACACCTCAAAGTATGCACTTAAAAAATGTCCAAGGCCTCCCGGTGGCGCAGCAGTTGAGCGCTGGGCTGCGAAGCTGCCCCCAGCTCTGCAGCACCTGTTCGATCCCCGGCCACCGGTGAGAGTCCCACATGGCATGACAGACCTCTCCTGCCTTGCCCGCTGCTCCCCTCAGCAGTGTATTTCATCAGTCTGGCTGTTCTGTTCCCCGCTCTGGCTCTGGTGAATTCTCTCACCCTCCTGCTCTTCTGACTGTACCCAGTGCTTGCATAAATAAATATAAATAAATCTTAAAAATAAATAAATAAATAAATAAAATGACTTCCAGAAGGCCTCCCTGGGGGCGCAAGGGTTTAAGCACTGCACAATGAAGCAATCCACAGCCTCTGCAGCACGAGTTCAATCCCCGGCCAGCCAGGGATCAACCCACATGGTGAGGCATACCTCTCCTGTCTCGCCTGCTGCTCCCCTCAGCAGTGGATTTCAGTCAGTCTACCTGTTCTGTTTCCCGCTCTGTTCTGGTGGATCCTCTTACCCCCCGCATCTCTGGCCCATACTAGCTCTTATATGCATAAATAAATAAATCTTTATAAATAAATAAAATGACTTCCAGAAAATGTATATTGTAGTATTTTATGCCTATGTTAGGGGAGGAGTATTAGAGAAAACAAATGAGCTGTTTGTATCCCTCAACAAATTGTGATACAGTACTCACACTGGCCCTTAGAACACTTTTGTGTGAATTAGAAACAGGCAGCTGTAGGCCCACATCAAGGCATGTGACTTTGCAAACAGAGGATTTTCCTGATTTCTTTCCATTGCCAAACCCTCTTGTGCAGTGATCTTCCTGCTAAACTTTATATTTCAGCCCTGATAGAAAGAACTGAATTTCTGCTTAGGCTTTAAGCAGTAGAGAGGATAAGGAGAAACTTTGAATCTATGCAGAAATTTTTCAGGTTGCTTACAAGCCAGAGCTTCTCTGACATTATCAGTTTGTTTCTAGGATTCAAATAATCCAGTTAGGTAAGTATCTGGGTGATAAGATCACTGACCAGGCCGGTTTGGGGGAGATGTACATGGACAGAGCATAGAGGAAGGAGGTGCTTGTCCAGCTAGTCACATCACATAGAACCAGCCTGGCAATCAATAAAGAGGCAGATGTTTCATCCAGATTGCTTTCACATCTATAAACTTGTTATATTTTTTATGTTTAACAAGTTATCATAGAAATAATTTCAATAGTCACTTCATACACTCAGATACATGATATATACATATATTTCATATATACAAATATTCATGTACCCTTACCACTCTTCCATATGGCTTATTTTAAACTATTTCAATATCTAACAAATGGGCTATCCTATAAATGCAATTGCTGTTGTTAATTCCTACAGTGTCTATTATAACAAAATAGGAATATATATATATATGTGATGAAGTCATCAACTTGTCTAGGGAATTATAAAACCATGATTCAATCTTATGGAACTTTTCTTTAATATTTAATGCTTATTAACTAAACATTTGACACATTTTTTCATGTAAATTATTAAGTTGAGAATAGTTTGCACTTATTTTCAATATTTTCTTCAGCTGTTTTTATCTACATTTGCAAATTCAGTGAAAATCTGGGCAAGAAGATATTGCTGATCAAATTTGAATTCTGTCTATGACTTTATTTGTATTGGTTTACATTTCCTTCATTAAGACAGGTCTATTTTCTTTACTTAGACTTGTTAATCACCATCTATCGTGACTAATAAAGTTTATAGTTCTGAAAGAAAGGTGTTTTATCTTCTCTTACATTTAAATTCTGTCTGTAGGTTTAAGACAGTCTCCTTAAGACTTTTTACTTTACTAAAATAGATAATATAATAATTATTTTAAATATTTGAACATCAAATACTTGATATGGTTCAGAAATTAAAATATCAGAATGTATGCAAGGAGAAGTCTTATCATCACTTCATTCCTGACCCCTTTGTTGCTCCTGGTCCCATATGTAACCAATTTTAGTCATTTCTTATTATTCTTTTCTATTTTAAATAAAAATACAAGGAAACACAAATATGCATTCTTGTTTTTCACCCATATTTTCAAAAATTGGAAAAATTAAAAAATTCTCCCCATAAAGCTCTTCTACTCTTACTACTGATTCATTTGTCTACAGTAGACAACTTACCTCTTCTTTGCAAAGTGGATTAATGAAATCATCTGCATACAAATTCACAAGATGACCATAAAGTTACCAAAGTTAGCGGTATGATTTTCAATACATATTTCTTAGAGGCCCTTTTAACAAATTTTCAGAATAGATTGTCTAATTTGCTGGAAGGATAGTGCTTGAGTTAAGGATGTTTGAGAAGCAGCATGGTCCTCTCTAATAACTGAAATATTCTGGTACATTGTCCAGGTTACTGCCTTTCTAGTGCAATGATTTGAATAACTGCTGTGCTATTTCTTCCATAATTTTAAAATTAGTTTTTTTTAGCATAGAAACTATGCTAAAGATACCATATGGGGAAGTGTGTACTGATCTAAGAAATGGTTAAGGCAAATTTTAAAAACTCCTATTTTCAAAGTCTTGTACAAAGTGATGTTGCAAAAGATTTTGACCCGTTTAAATTTAGAATGCTGAAAATGTTTTGATACTAGCAGTTGTCTCTTGTTTGAGCCTTCCATAAAATTATTACCATATTGGAAATTTTGAATTAACTTGGAACCTTTCTTCTCCTTTTTGCTAATATTTCCATTCAAGGGTGAGTAGGATTACTCATTTACTAATATGATTTTGTACTTCATGTTGTGTATCATTAAATGGTTGCTTTTAATTCCCAGCATTCCACCCTACCAGACTGTGCTGCAAAAACAAAGATTAGAATGACCTTCCATTCCTGCCACTTGATTGCTAGTAGAGAGTTCCCTTATAACCCAAAAGTGTCTTGGAAGGGATGAGAAATTATGTGGTCACTAAAACTTTGAATTCCCCCAACAAATAACAGCTAACTTTCATTGGGCATTTGCTCTATACCATCCACTGTACTAAATTCTTTATAGATGTAATTTTATTTATAATTGCATAGAACACAACCTTCACTAGGCAGCTAATATTATAATAGTGATATTACAAAACATAGTGGAAGCTACAGGGTTAAATAATTTGGCCAAACCATGTAACTAGTAACTGAGGAGATAGGACTGAAATTCAAGCCATTGGTATCACACAGTTAATTTTTTTTAAGACTGTGTTATTGGGACAATCGGTGGCCACTGGTGCCCAACTTAGTTTGGCAGCAGTTTGAGGAGCTAGGGACCACTGAGTTTCATTTGATTGCCTTAAATTTATTAAGTCCCATTCATCTACTAAATAAATTAGTTCTTTTTCTTTTTATTTCTAAAATAAATGCCAAGGCAAAACAATATTTTTTTTTTTTTAAAAAAAAAAACAGGATCAGTAATCTTGGCAGTGTTATGTTACAATGGCTTTTTAAATTTTTTTGCAAGATGCCATTCTAATTGTTTAGATGGATGGGTGCATTAGGGACAGTGGTTCACTGTTTCACTTTGGAAAAGCTGCTTTCTGTCAGGTTTGTGAACAGCTTTATTGTTTAGTTCACATAAAGGTCCACAGTTCTAAAAATACATACTTTTATGGATAATATAATAGGTACTTTATGTGTGTTGCAGGTGCTTTCCCTCAATTGATGAAATGAACACCTTTGTACCTTGTAGAAAAAGGTATGTATTGAATATATGAGTGGCATGTAGACATATATGAGTGTACATCTATGTATACATACACATCTTGTTTGAAAAACCAGTCTTACAATCATACACACTGGATACTTAAATCACAGCCTTATGAAATATCAGTGTCTCCTGTGAATCTATTGTTGAATCTTTCATTGGAATCTATCCTTGGATTTGAGAGCCATTTTCTGTAGCTAACTTTGAAGTGCGGACTTTGGGTCAGAAAAAAAGAGATTTGTAATACACTTTGTTTGAATTAAAAAAAAAAACCTGAGCCAATTAATTCCAGTTAGCTTGCTAAGTTCAGCTTCTGCATCTTCAAACCTATCTTAGCATTTTCCTGATCTAAAAGACTATTTCTTTCCTTTTGTTTCTTTTCTTAGCTTGATGAAGTGCTCAGATTTGTTAATTTCAAAATGAACCATTTGAAAATGAAGAAGCCACTTGTTTAATTCACTGGACTGGGAGTCTTAGAGACATATGTTTTATTCTCAGTTCTGAAAAAAATCTCTTAAAGCAAAAATCACATGACCTACACCCAAAAAAAAGTGATTAGTCTAGATTCTACATTCTAATCAGTGCTGTAAGCATAGTATTAGCTAAAAAGTCCTTGGCAAAGTGAAACTACATAAACAGTCAAGTTCCAAATCCTGGCAGAGAACACTGTCTTTTGAGTTACATTTTCCTAAAACTTTTTAAAGTCTCTTCTTGACAGTAATCCTTCATTCCTATTATAATAATTCAAGATTAGTCTCTCTGTTTAGAGGATGCAGATATTTTAGATGAAGTGAGTAATAATCCTTTGTGGAAAGGATACCACCTCTAATCCCCAACTCTAGTGGTCTAGAGGCTGGGTTGTCAGTGGAGAAATTGGATTTCTCTGATATATAGTTAAAACACTTGGTGGCTCTCTGCCTGACATTCCAGGAAAATTGATCTCTTTAGTTATGCTGGTCTAGACTTTAACATAAATTTTTCCTAGGCCCTTTTGTATTTAACCAAAGCATATCTGTATTAATAACCCAAAACAACAAAACAAAACTTCTTAAGCAGATAAAGAAAATTATAAAGGAAAAAAAAATCTGGAAACCACATGGTGAACAAAATTTAATTTCTAAAGAAATTACTTGTTATCTGAAGAATGAAACTCTAAAAATCTTCACCATTTACAGGTTTCACGCCTTTAAGCAATTGACAGTCTCTTCACTATTCATTTGTAAAATAGGAGAATAGCACTTTTTTGCAGATATTATGGGGTCAAGTGAAAAACATGAAAGTACTTCATAAAAGATGGATGTTGGTTGTTGTGTAGACAATGATAGTCCCACACTTGGGCACTTATTGTAGATACCCTGAGTGTACAACCCAGTTTTGTGGAAGCCCTAAGAAGAGTTTTCAGACCGTACGCTGTCACACATGGCAGTGTCACTCACGTCCTGATTTCCTTTCTCTTCTAGTCTTCTTTACTTCCCTAGCTGAGGTCAGGCTGGTCTGTTCTGGCCACATTGGCACCCCACTTTTGTTCTGTACTCACTCTGCTGCATTCTCTTGCCTCTGCTCCAGTATTTCATTCCCAGAGAGAAAGGTTTGTCTTTCCTGGGCCAGCACCAACTGTGGGTACCCCCCTTGCCTCTCTGAAATTTTCTAGCTTCAGATCTTTAGAGGTGTCATCTTCCTCCTGACTCGGTTCTCTTTGCTGTATTGGCTTATCTGAAACATATTTCTTTTTGGGATTTTTATGCAGATTCTTGCTTTCTTCACCTGGGTTTGAACATGAGTCTGGCTTGCTGCAGGGCGCACTGCCTTCATGATTGGAATCTCTCACTGTGTTCCGACAGTCTTTCCTTATGCTGCAGATAGACACGGCTCTTTTCCCCTCATGAAATTGGATTTTCCTGCTTACTTTTCCCCTTGGATTTTCCTGCTTACTTTCAAATTCCAGCTGCAAAGAGCAGAATGAGAATAAAGAGATTCCATAGCAGTTAATGTGGTGGTATTACTCCGAGTAGTAATTGCAATAACAACAGCATCAGTAGTAGTGATAATAGTCATTTCTGTTGTCATTATAGTTAACACTTGTTGCCAGGTGTGATGAAAAGTTTTTTATGTGCATTACTTTATTTAAACTGCACAATAAACAAATGAGAGGAGTCAGTTACTGTTTCTCATGTAGAGTGTAAGAAACTGAGATTCTGAAATGTGAAGTAATCTGCCTGAGGTCATAAAACTAGTAATCTGGAGACTCATATTCAAATTGAGATGATCTGATTTCACCTAAATATACTGCTTTATATTGTGCAATATATTAATTAACTCCTGTAGCAGAGGGCACTAACTGTAGCAGAGGGCTTATAGAATCCAGGAAAGAAATTAATATTGGTAGAGAGGGTCCACATTTAGCAAGGCAGTGGTGGAAGCTAGATTATAAATGGTAACTGACATTCTTCCTCAGTGTTGGGGTGCTGGAAGGCATGAGGAGATGTGTGGCTTTCTGGAGTACACATGTCCTACCTAATAAAGATAGCTGCTATTCTGGCAGTTGTTCTCACATTAGAATAAGATTTTCAAACATGAATTTTAAAAAAGATGATGGAAATATGGATTTTAAATCATCTCCTGATTATGAAATGCTGGCAACTAACTCAAATAAAAAACAGAAAACTAAGCATTGTGAAGGTTAAAGTAATTATGTCTGAGGACCAAGGCAGGTCTGGTTTGTGACTTCTCTGGAGAAAATTTTGCAACAGTCTAGCCATGAGTGATGACACTGAACAATAAGAGATATATTGTTCCCTGTTGGCCAGTAGTCGGTCCATCCATCTCCGTTCTATCAATTATTGTGTTGCTGAAGATTGGGAAAACTCCAAATTTATTAAAACTTGTATCAAGACTAAAAGAAAAAAATAATGAGACTTATTCTAGAATGCCAATTATAAACCAAGCATTACATATGCCATTTTATTCATTTCAATCCCCATAGCAGTCCTGCTAAACAGGTAAGAATAGGAGTCAGAGAGGTTAAATAACAATAGCTTTCCAGTAAGGGACATCATGAGTTTGAATCCACGTGCATTATTGCATATGATCTTCCTGCTCTCCTGCCATTACGGTATTATATTACGACCAGACTAGCACTAGACTAGAACTCAAATAGGTGGGAACAAGGCTTTCCATAGTGTGATTTTCAAGTTTCAGTGGGGGACAGTTCCTTTAATTAAAATTATCTCTGCACACAACCAGATACTCCTCTATTTCACTATTGCTCAGCCTGAAATTCTAGCCTTTAGAGATTCTTTTGCATTAACAAACATACTCCTGGGAAGGCCCCTGCTTAAGCTACCTTGCCTTCATTCAAATGTTAATATGAAGTTAATCAGATTACATCCTTCAACTACTAGCTGAGTTCATGGGACAGCTTTCCTGGTACAGCAAGGAAGAGTAGGGCCATTGTGAAGTATGGGCCACTCTTTAGGTGCAATTGATGTCGTTTTTGGAGTTGATGGGTTTTGAGAGCTGGGTCTTTGGGTTAACTCTGGGAAAGGTTTCACCAGAGCTTCCCTTTCAGCGGCACATGGTGAGTTTCCCAGGAAAGTTTCTCCATGAGACTAAGAGGTTATATTTAAAGAATAGGTTTATTAGAGAAAGGGACAGAGGAATAAAGGAAACTTGCATAGACACAAGTGGGCAGAAAGAGCTTCCCCGAAAGGGCTAGGTTTGCTGAGAGAGGCCTGCATGGTTCACAGGCAGGCGACCTTGAGGAGAGCTGCCTCCCTTGAGAGAGGTCAGTGAAGAGAAGCCCTGGAATGGTACAGGTCATGGGCAGGCAGGAGGCTGCTGCCCTGCAGAGGGAGTTGGTGAAAAGAAGCACCTGCATAGTTACAGATGGGCAGAAGGACTGCTGCCCCATGCCAGTACAGAGACTGCACTGATAGAGTCTTTTCTTTGGGAGCGGCTCAGGCTCACTCCTTTGTGGAGTGACCTGTTTGCTGCTGATTTTCAAGATTTATTTATTTATTTATCCAAGCACTGGGTACAGTCAGAAGCACGGGAGGATGAGAGAATTCACCAGAGCCAGAGCAGGGAATAGAACAGGTAGACTGACAAAACACACTGCTGAGGGGAGCAGTGGGCACGGCAGGAGAGGTCTATGTGCCATGTGGGACCCTTACCAGCGGCCGGGGATCAAACTGGCATTGCAGAGGCTGCGGTCAGCTTCGCAGCCTAGCGCTCAACCACTGCACCACCAGGGGAGGCCCTGCTGCTGATTTTGGATAACTGTGCAGAATCCGAAAGGGGCCCAATCTCTATTTCTTTACCCTCAGGTCTGTGCTCTGGATGCTCCCTACAACAGTCTGATACCTACTTGGGTCTTATGCCTTGTGATAAGGCACTGGCACCTGAGGATCTTGATTTCTATCACTGGGTTAATGGTCATGTTAATCCCCTCTACCCCCACCTCCTTGAGTGAGTCAGGTTTTGGTCTTGTGATGCCTCCTTTGGGTTTTCTATTCTTTCCTCCATCAAAATGACAGTACCTTGGAATTTGGGGTAGGACCCCCTTGGGGCAGGTTTTGGGCTGCTTAGAAACAGGAGTGTGGACATACAACTTGTTAACTACTTTACTTTTTTCCTAGAACTGTCCTCTCAAATCAATGAGGTCACGTTGTTGCTTGGAACTTTTATTTTATTTTATTTTCTTAAATCATTGTTCTCCCTTCAGTTATAGTCCTTGTGCTTGGTACTTTTTATCCTATTATACCACAAGAATGCATCATTTTTATCTTGAATAGACTTTGAACATCCTTTATATTTCTAAAATAAAAACATAATCTTTTGAATATTAATACTCTTGCTTAGATTAAAGAATAAATCCAGTGAATAATAAAAGGAAAAAGCAAAGCTGAAGAAATAATTACGAAATGCCTATTTCTAAGGGAGAAGATTATGATGGATTTTTTATATATATTGTTTGAATTTTTGTGAGATAA